GTCGGACCAGACAGGCTAGCCTTCGTTCCCCATGTGCATCAGTAAGCCTTGGGCGCCCATGACCCTGTCGCCAGTTCACCGGTTGGCCTTTGGTGGGTACTGCCCAGTGCATATTGGGAACGCCCCATAAAACCTGTCTTTTTGGAGATGCTCTTACCCAGTTGTCTAGTCATCACAATTTGGGCCTTGTCAGAGTCACTCAGATCCTTATACTTGCGCATTTTTCCTGCTTCCAACACATTAACTTCAAGCACTGACTGTACACGTGCTGAATATATATAATTTAACCCTCGACAGGGGCCAATGTAACGAGATAATCAATGTTATTCAGTTCATCTGTCAGTCAGTGGTTTTATTGTAGATCAAGGTATTTGTGCATCATTTTATAATATATAAAATGCATAAGATCTATGAATACAGATTATCCATCCTTACTCTTTTCCACCATGTCTGAACAGACTCTCCAAGGGCCCAGCCAGCACAGTTTTTGGCATGCAGGAAGAAGCTTGTGTTACCTTCACACACAGAGCAGAAGCAGGATTCAAACCTGCTACTCTGGGCATGTGAGGCCTGGTCATTATCCACTGAGCTGCCATGCTACAAACAGTAAAAATTTCATGGATTTGTGTGTAGATTGACTTAATATTACATTGTCCCTGCCCAATGCCCCCATAATTTATTATTATCATTAAACATCACACCTAGAAATATGCAAAGCCACAGAAGTCCCTAAAAAACCTGAGCACCACAAACACACTCTTTCCTATCACTTTTTCCAGCATTGAGCTTGTGAAACTCAATCAGTTGGGCGCCTTAATGCTAGCTGTTTGGAAGTTCACAAAATACAGAATAAAATCCCAAAAAAACCATGAGCAGAACAGACTATTGATTTCTTGGAGCTGGACCCTTTTTGTTGGGTATATTGACATTTTAATTTGTCCCTGGTTGATAGTTACAGATTTGGAACTGGGCCAGGAGTCAGGACATGGTATTTGTACTAGGAAATAATATGAGTTACTTGGACAAGGATCACAACTATCTTGACTCTCTCCTGTATTCTCCTGCATTTGTAAGTATTGGATCATCAGTCTCATGGCATTTGCACATTAGTGGTCATTTAGAGGAACCAATTCACCTGAATGGCATATTTTGCCAGTGTGGGTAGAAACAACTTAGATACATTGAAGCTGTGAGTGGCCAGGCCTGAATTCAGAAGGCGCTGCCTGGTCTTGGAGCTATGAGACAGCAACACTACCTGCTGAGCCACTCAGATAATAAATGAGCGTCACATTTTTGCTTGGGTCGTCATTAAGTGGATGAAGACACAAAAACTGGGAAACAGCTGTGTGAAATTACTGGGGAATCTGCACACCAGCTGGCATGAAAAGGGCTTGTAGGGCTTGTAGGGCTTGTAGCACTAGGCTGAATCTGCTGGTAATAGTGAGATCAGGCCCATTGATAGACATAATACAAAGTGGGCTTCAAAGCAAATGAACTTCTGTGGTTTCAGTATTGAGACTTATTCTTATCTTTAATTGCATTAATGATTTTGGAGTCTATGTGAATTCGAATTGAATTGTGTTTACTTGCCTAGCTTTTGTGGCTGTAAAATATAACAGGGATCAAGATCACCTGTGTAACAGTCTGTTTAAGTATATATGATCATGTCATCATTTGTGGAATCTGTCTTATAATACTGAGTATTTTGTAACTGTTTCAAAATCATGATAGGTACAGCCATAGAAACCACTAAGAAACTTTACGTAGATTTAAGCTGGGTTAGATTTTCATAGTAGAGAAACATATGAAATAATGTCCAGAGCAAACCATACATTGGCTTCACAGTTCTCAAAGACAACACCAGTGTCAATTCATACCTATATGCAGGTGGGATCTGAATCCAGCACAGTATCTGTTTGCAGAGGTGGAGATTTCAGGTCCAGAGAGTACAAATCTAGACCAGGATTGTGTTTCAACCAACCAGTTGAGAACTCTCTGACTGTGACGCTTCATACTCAACTGGTTGGTTGAAACAAAATCTTGGTCTGGATTTGTACTTTCTGGACCTGAAATCTCCACCTCTGTCTTTTGCTAGGACATTTGAATTCTCTTCCTTTTTTGTGTGGGGTTTTATTAATTCAGTTTTTTTCCCCTGAGTACAAATCTAATATACAAAAAAGAAATAGGAAATAGAAATGGCAATAATCAGCAAAGAAAATTATTTAAATCTATTGGTTGTTTGTTATTTAATTATGCATTGTTTAGCTCATTTAGCCATTCCAAAAAAAAATCAACATGACATCAATGTAATATCCCCGCAGTGCAAATGCTGTCTACAATATTGCTGATGTCACGATGTGATTAAGTAAGTTCTAACAGAATGCCAATATATGGTTAGCTAAAATGACATTTAAAGTGTGGATGTATATCCTGAAGTGGACTGGCATCCCATCCAGGGTGTTCTTCGATCTGGAGTCCCTTTACTGGACAAGTGGTTGAGAAATATAGGATGTTGGGAAACTGGTTTACACTGTGCAACTTATTTTGCACCAACAAGAAATAATATCTGACATTACTGGGGGCACCATATCCTCCTCCTCTTATCAGTATGAATCACACAGTACATCTTATTGAAATACATGCTGTTTTTGGAAGATGCTCTTAGTTAATAATCAACAAAACTAGAAATATGGCCAGAAAACAATAAGACTGACAGTAAAATAACAGGATGTTTAATTTGTGTAACAATCAGTAGCTGTATTGTGATAGTACACCTGCAGGTTTTAAAGTTGTAGAATGATTTAAAAGTTAATTTTATTGATTATTAAGTCTCCTTAATTACTGTGATTCTGGAATTTGTGTGCATTGTATTTTTGTGGTCTTAAGTGTTCATTTGTTATAGTGGGATGACTGAATGTATTTCTCTGAGTCTTGACTGGTTGGATTGACAGTAGTGGGGGAACCACAAAAAGTATTAAATTGTGTTTTAGTGGGTAATTGCACTGTATTACTTTGTGAATGTTAAAGCTGCTCTGCTATTAGGCTGTGTAATTCCAGCCTACTGGAGCTGAGAGAGGCAAGTAAGCACTATTTAACAAACTCACAATTTACACATGCCAGTTCCATAACTATGACACTGCCTGCTATCTATACAAATAAAACCTAAAAAAAATAATTTCAAAGAAAAAAAAAACTAGGAATAGCCTCCTGAGACCCAAGTGAAAAAGTGTCCTTCAATTTTAGGTTATTTGTCTTTGGAGGAAATAAGACATCTTACAATTTAGATTTTTTTCAAATTTATTTTTATTTTTAATTTCACAGCATGTCCTCTTTAGTGTACAACAGGAATAAATACGTTTCCTAACATCAGTGAAAAGAGACATGCAAAAATAAAATGTCCACTGCAATGGACATGAATGGGTGGGGTCTCAGGAGGATATTAAACCTTTGCATTGAAAGCAGTAAGGGAAATTATCAACCTTTGTGGGGCAGTGGAATAATTTTTATTAAAACAATAATTTTGAGAAATTGAGAAACAGAACAGTTCTTGATTAGATTACCAGTTATCATCTGACTTCTCCAGGTTGCGCATGTTGTCCAAGAGGGGGATATACAAACACGTTGCACATAACATATTATATCCCATGAACGATGGCATCTGCCGCGCTTCTGGCACGAACCACGTCTCCGGGATGCTGCGTTGCATCCGCGTGTTTATAACATCCGCTTCCGGTCGCTGACGCCATGCCCTAAACAAAAATGGCGGCGCCCACAGAGGTCTTCTCGTGACAGAACGACCTAGGAAAATTGGTTATATTATAGTGTGTGTTAAGCAGTACGATATAGAGTAGACGGGGTATATGTGACCTTAATTGGAATTTCTGGTAGCGAAATTTTACGGAAGGTGTATGGGTAAGTTAGCTTGCTGGAAGTCATACATCGTAGAATGTCATTATAATTGTTCAAATGAGTGGATTAGGATAAATACAGAGATGATAAAAGTCCATTTGTTTATTTAGGTATTTACTTACATTTTAGTTGTCCATGGCTACCATTTTAACACTTAAGATTAGCATGTGAGATCGCAGTAAAAATAAAGTACTGATACTAATACTAATAGACTTGTTGCCAACAACCTTGGATTCTGTATGCTAATACGTTTTGATTTTGTTTGTGAATATTTTTATGCGTGACTTTCATCGTTATGTAGCCAATCCAGATATTTGTGTTTCAGATTATGGCTTTACAGAGAGTACCCACGAGGTTTTGTCGCACGGTAAGTGGTATTCTATTATTAGGATTTATTTACATTTTAATTACTTATTCCGCCAGGATTTTAAACTTACGTGTAGTAACAAGTTTTCTTATTCAATGACATCGTATTGACAACTTCTTTGCACATTAAATGCATGTCATTGACTAGTTTCTGGTATATTAAATGCATGTCAAAAATCCAGTAGTATAAGATGGAAATGTGCTTCTGGCTGTAATTTAACATGATTGGTTGAATTATTTTTTTAAAGGTACACAAAGTAGATTGCAAATCCCTGTGTTTATATTGTTATTCCATTAATCCTCTCATGTATTAATGGAATAACAATACATGATTTCCAGGTCTGTCAGACGCACCCCCTTCATCTATCAGGACAGAGTCAGCAACTCGTCACGGCTTCTGCTGAACCCGAAACGCCAGTAAAAATTGAGAGAGCCATCTTCCGGACTCCCGAGCAAAATCCGGTGAGTGCCGCCCCCCTCGCTTATGGCTGCTCTGTTTTTGCCTTGAATGACACGGTTCCTTTACTCCTCTGATCCATGCTTCAGGCCAACCATTCACAACAGGATGTGGGTCAGTACTACACGCTGCCTCCTGACCAGCTGCGCTCCGCCTTCCCCCACGGGCTGCCCCGCCGTTTCCAGCAGCAGGTAATTGGGAAACCACTGTGTTCATTGTGGGGGTGGGTGGGGGGGGGGG